TGGCATTGATTTTAAATATCAAATACAAACAAACATCAAAATAAAAACTCTTAAATTATCATGATTGAAAGCTTGAAAATTTTCTCGTTTCAAGCGACAAGTTATACCATTATTTGCTCTAAAACAGCTCTCAGCAGAAAAACCGTATAAATTACATCCGCGGCGTAAACATATTTTATTTTTCATCAATTCAAAAAATTTTAACGCCAAATTTTTACCCACCCAATATTATATATCTCTCACTACTCCTTGTAATGATATTCATTTATGAGGGAAATGAGTATCATTCCTCTTCATAAATTGGTATGGCGTATACTACACACGTGCGCAAGTCTAAGCTCATTTATGCTGCAAATCAAGTCTCGAGCCTCATCAAAATTCGAATTAAAAAATCTAGCGAACGCATGTGATTTTATTTTCAGCACACGTGTTTCTATATGTAAATGTATTCGTCCAGTTATTATCAAGTACAGCCCTTTGAGAAAACGATAAATTTTAAAAAGGCGTTCGGTCAAGGAGGCGAAAAAACTTTTCACGTATTCGGATTGCTAGAAGTTTGCTTTGATCCAAGAATATTGGTATCATTCGTATCAAATAGAGCATAGAACGGCTAGTGTTATCTATCTATGCGAGTTAGTATCGATTGGTTTCTTACCGAGTTGGTGTACAACTCATCGTTGTACAAAACTGTCTACGCTCAGTCACTATTGATCGTTTCATGCTGTAAGAAGTGTTTACAAATAATATCCGTACACGTTTGTTGGTGAAAATAAGATACGGTGTTGGCTACTCGAGGCATCTAATTTTGAATAATTTCAAGATAAATTATAGTAACGAAGCGATGGAAAGCAGAAAGGATTTAGTTAGGTATACACTTTTTCATGCTTGCCAAAGATATATTTTTAAACGATCGTTTTTTTAGCATTAAAGAAGAGCCTCGTGACAATTGGGAAGATGTTGCCAACGAGAGTGTCGATCCGGGGGTCTCGGTCAAAACCGAAAACTCTGATGAATCATCGGTAAGATCTATCTTTTGAAATTATGATCAGATTTGCTCCATAAAAAAACTATAACATAATTTTAATTTCAGGCAAATCCCACCAAT